TTTTTTTTTTTTTTTTTGAGAGGGGATCTTGCTGTATAATTAAGGCTGAATATTGAATTCAGTATACATGTAGGCCAGGCTGGCCTCAAACTTGTGATTTTCCTGCCTCAGCCTTCCAAGTGCTGGGAATATAGGTGTTTGCCACCACATCCCGTTTGGATAGTTGTTTCCTAAAGTTATTTAAAGTATTCCTCCCCCCTACCCCAAAATAAATAAATTAATAAAAAAAACACAAAGTATTTCCATAATGGTGGTAAAAGTGAACTATTTCACCTATTTCTTTGTAAAAGAAAGACTGTGGATTACATCTGCATTTTACTTTTTGGTTGAGGCAGGATCTCAATATATGTAGCCTGGACTGGCCTTGAACTTGTGATCCTGAATGCTGGAATTACAGGCATGTTCCACCACACATGGCTTATGTTTTATTTTCCTTTAGTTTAGTAACTTCTGTACATGCAAGAAGCCACCGTGTCACCTCTGACTCCAATTTTGCAGTAAATTAAGCAGAGGAAAAAAATGAATTGATTGGGTAGTGTTGATGTAACTGAGTTTAATGAGTTTGAATGTTTCTTTACCTAGTGGAGGACAAAGTTTCATGTTCGTAGATACACATTTTTCCCCTCCAGTACTGGGGACTGAACCCAGGGAATCAAAGCTGCATTCTTACCTCTTTTTTAAAACTTTATTTTGAGACAAGTTCCAAGTGCCCAGCCTCACTTTGAATTTATAATCCTCCTGCCTTGCCTCCCAAAGAGTTGGGATTATAGGTGCACAGACCACACCCAGATTCACAGAATTATTTGAGGGGGTGTTGAGACAGTATCTTGATTCATAGTATAGGCTGACCTTGCTCACTGTGTAGGCCGGCCTCAAATTTGGGGTGATCCTCCTGCCTCAGCTTCCCAAATAATGGGATTATGGGCATGTGCTATCATGCCCAGTTCACAGAACTTTTTTTTTTTTTTTTTTTTTAATCAGAACTTTTTCCAGGCAGGAAAAATATTTTGCTTTGTGCTGTTCCTTGTGTTAGAGAACTATGACACCTTGCTGTGTGTAAAGTTTGTATTGTACTTGTTAATACAAACTTTATGGGACAAGTATAACAAAATGTAATTTTGTCAGTTTTCCAGACTGCAAATCATTGGTAGTTCAACATTTCTATCCTCTGTTTCGTTCCTTTACTATTTCCATGCTTTTTAAGTATCAGAACTACTACACCTCTGTTCTTTCTTGAAAATAGCACTGTCTTCCCCACTTTCCCTCAACATCTGGTGTCCCTCACTTAGGACTTGGCAATTACATTTTGGTGGTGGAGTTGAGGGTGTAAACTTCGTACGTTGGTGTAAGATAGCCTGGTGAAATTTTCACATTGTGCGTCCTAAATGTATATTAGTGCCATTCACTGTTCTTTACTACCTGGTTTATTATTTTACTTGTAGTATGTGAGTTAGTATGTATTATAAATTAATATAATAATCATGGACAATACACACACACACACACACACTTTTTTTGTTTTGCTTTTTGAGACAGGGTCTCACCATGTAGTTCAGACTAGCCTTGAACTCGCTTTGTAGCCTAGGCCGGCCTCAAACTTGCGTTGATTTTCTTGCCTCTGCCTCCTGCCTGAGTTGTTGGGATTATAGGAGTATGCCATCATGCCTGGCATGGTCAATATTTTTATCTGTGTGTGTGTTTCTGAATATCAAACCCCTTTTATTTTGAGAAAGGGTCTTGCTAAGGCTCCCAGAGTGGCCTTGAACTCATTGACCTTGGCCTCCTGCCTTAGCTTCTCAAGTAGCTGGGATTGTAGGGACTATAGGTGTATGCAGCTTTACCCAGTTTGTGTGTGTGTGTGTGTGTGTGTGTGCACGCGTGCCCGCAGTATGGGAATTCAACCAGGGGCCTCTTGCACAATAGGTAAACACTGTGCCACTAAGGTACATCTCTAGCCCTTCTGCTTATCTTTTTTTTTTTGGTATGGGGGATTGAACTTGGGACCTTGTGCTTGTGAGGCAGGCGGCGGCCCCACTGAGCTAAATCCCTGGGCCTATTTTTAAAAAGAGAAATTTTTTGTGTTATAGGCATTAAACTACTCAATTTAGTTAGTGCTAGGTAAGCACTTATAGCCACTGAGTTACAGTCCCTGCCCAGCTGCCATAACTGATTATAGGGCTGGGGCCATAGCTCAGCGGTGCTCTGTCTGTCTGGCAAGTACAAGATCCCGAGTTCCATTCCTGGCACCAAAAAAAAAAAAAAAAACAAAAACCCAAAACTGATTGTAAGTCTCTTTCTAGACCAATTCTTAGGAATTCTCTGGATGATCTCCTTGGGCCACCTTCTAACCTGGAAGGCCAGAGTGATGAAAGAGCTCTGTTGGACCAGCTGCACACACTCTTGAGCAACACGGATGCAACAGGACTGGAAGAAATTGACCGAGCTTTGGGCATACCGGAACTTGTGAATCGGGTAAGTTCCACCAACATGGAACTAGGAAGAATGTGTGTCTGTGAGCACGTGTGTGCATGTGTGCACTTTTATGAGGCCAGGCACAGGGTGCTTGTGCAGCTTTCCTACTCCTTGTGTTTGTTATTTATGATTAGTGGTAAATTTAGAAAAAGAGCTTTCTGATTGTGATTTTACTCCCAACAACCTGGTATTTTATGAATTTGTCACATTCTAGGAAACTAGAAATCATTCAGTAACACTACAGGTTTTTAAATGATTATTTCTTTATTTATTTTTTGGTACTGGGGATTGAACTTGGGACCTTGTGCTTGCAAGGCAGGCAGCAGAACCACTGAGCTAAATCCCCAGCCCTGCACTACAGGTTTTTAAAATGCTGCTACTACATTTTTTAAGTGCTACTTTACTTTTAACTGGTTATCATTTTTATAACTTTAAAAATTTTAAATTATTTTTATTAGTACATGTTCATAATACATAATGATTACATTCACTGTGAAGAGCTGGTATATGCACAGAACACATCTTAATTTTCTTTTTACTTCCCCTCCATTCCCTCCACTTGCCTTCCGTTCCTATAACTACTTTTCTTCCCTGCCTAGCTAATCACTGTGTCCTCCTAGGAGGTAGCCTGCTAAGTTTCTCAGGTTAAGTCAGACACATCACAACAGTAACTCTGAATGTCCCACCATCATCATCATTTTGTATCTACATATCCAGCCTTATGGAAATATGCCATTCACAAATTCATTTTGCAACAGATGCATTTTGTAGTAGCTATTATTATTTAAAGGGTACATATTGGGGGCATTTCATAGTTCTGTGCATTTGAAAATAAGCAGACAAGACCAGAAGGTTCTTAGTCTTTGTTGCGGGAGATGTACAGGTAAGAAATTACACAACAATGTTGCAGACAGTGCCACAGAACTTTTAAAAGGGTAAATGGGGAAACTTTAGGCAGTCCTGATTTTCACCTTCAGGCATACCAGTGATAGGTCTCTGGCACCAAAGAGTATGTTTAACTTGTTCCGGTGTGTGAGAGGTAGACAGAGACCAAGAACCTTTAATTGCCTTTTCAAAATGTTAAACTGGGAATTGCTGTCTTTGTTCTGATGATATAAATTAGTGGTTATTATATAAAATCCTTAGAATTGCAACAAAAAAATTATTAGAGTTTTAAATTTTCTAATAGTGACACACAGGGGTAATCATTAATTACTTGTTGGCTTATTATGCCTTTTGATTTAAAAAAGGTACACATTGCTAGGTATGGTGGTATACACTTGTAATCCCAGCGCTGTGGAAGGCTGAGGCAGGAGGACCCCAAGTTCTAGCTGAGCCTGGGCAACTTAGTGAGACACTGTCTCAAAATAAAAGGAAAAACAAAAACAAAGGGCTGGGAATATAGTTCACTGCAAAGGCCTTGGGTTCAAACCCAGTACTAAAGGTAAAAAAGGTACATCTGTATATGTTTATATAGTGTACATAATGTGTGTGTGTGTGTGTGTGTGCGCATGTTATAAAAATGAGAGACTTTTAAAGCACTTTATAACTACTTTTGCTTTTGAAAGTAATTGTTAGTCATTTTTGTTTTCTTTGGTACTAAGGATCAAGCTCAGGACCTTGCATCTTGCGAGGCGGGTGGCTGCACCATTGAGCTAAATCCCTGGCCCCAGTCATCTTTTTGTTTGATATATACATTATTAATTTTAATGGCCAAATAGTATCTATTATATGGAATGATATTAACCAGTCCACTGCTGGTGAAAATTTAGAACAATTCTGTTATAAACTGTTGTTTGACTTACTCGTGTGTCTTCTGCTGCTGCTTCTTCCTTATAAAATGTAATGGGAGTATTAGTGGGTTAGAGAGGGTTCATATGTTATAGGTTTTGCTCCTTATCTTCATGTTGTTACCTTGCATGCTTATCGCAGCTGCTCTCTGCTACAGCAAGATAGTGGCTCCTCGTGCAAGTCCTCCCCAGTGCCATGTTGGTGTGGCTTATGGATATGAGGGACCCACAGTATGGATAAACAAGGACTACTGGGTGTGATTCCTTTTAAAAATCTTTGTTAGTGTGAAAGGAAAAAGAGTCTTCCTATGATTTTTTTTTTTTTTTTTTTTGCTTTGTAAGATTGAATATCATATATTTATTTTATGTGCTATTACAGTTTCTGATGAGGTGTTTTGTTTTGCTTTACCAGGGATCAAACGCAGGACCTTATGGTCGCAAGGCAGGTGCAGCATCATTAAGCTAAATCCCTGGCCCTTGATGGAGTTTTTTATATTGTTGATTTGCAAGATTGTTTTATGCAGATGGCCCCTTGCTTATGATGATTCAGCTTTTAGTTTTTTGACTTTATGGTGGTGCAGTAACAATTCACATACAAGAGAAACAGTCATTTTGAATTTTAATTTTTTTCCTGTGCTAGCTGTGTGTGTGGTACAATGCCCCCCCCCCATTTTTGTTTTTTTAACATGGGAGTCTTGCTATGTTATCCATGCTGGCTTTGAACTCACTGTGCAATCCAGGTTGGCCTCAAACTCACAGCAGTCCTCCTGCTTCAGTATCCCATGCACTGGATTTATAGGCATGCATCACTATGCCTGGTGGTACGTTGTTTCCTTGAGATATGGACAGCAAATATTATAAATAGCTTGCCTTAGTTTTTGATGAGCTTGATTTTAACTTTGTTACTTACTTTTGAAAGGTTTATGTTTTCAAATTCAGAATGATGAGGTGAAGAATAATGAGGTCTTGAGTGGTCAGGATAGCTCTTTGAGGCAGGACTTTGCTATGTAGTTCAGGCTGGCCTCAAACACAGCAGTGTTCCTGCTTCTGCTTCCCGAGAGTTCTGGGCTCTTTGTGTGTGTGTGTGTGTGTGTGTGTGTGTGTGTTTAAAATTTTTTTTTAATGTGGTGCTAGGTACTGAATCCAGGGCCTCTTAGGTGCTAGGCATGTGCAATACCACTAAGCTATATCCCCAGTCTGTTTTACTATTAAATATATTTGCTTCTAGTAAAAAACATGTTAGATTTTAATAGCTATTTGAGTTTTGAAATGTTAGATAAGAAATTGGTGGCTGTACATATTCCCCCCATTACATACTCATGCATATATATATTTCAGTTTAATATCTTTTGTTGAGTAGCCAGTATTTATAATTTGACTTACTGCTGAGCCAAGCATAGCATGTCTTTATATTAAATATATCTGTATTGATAATGTGTAGAACATCATACAATTAAAGTTATAAAATTTAAATTTTTATTTAATAATTCTCAGCTGTTTTTATCATTTTCAGACTTTTTGGTTTTTTGAGACAGGGTCTCACTATGTAGTTGAGACTGACCTAGAATTCACTGTGTAACCCAGGCTGGTCTTGAACTCACAGCAGTCCTCCCGAGTGCTGGGATTACAGGCCTGCGCCACCACGCCCGGCCATTTTCAGACATTTAATAATCCTTCCTTCCCTCTTACAGTGCCCTCTTTTTTTACTCTTTCCGAGGCAGACATAGTAAATGTCACTATTCTCCTGTACTGAATCCTAATTTCCTAAATTTCAAGTTCTTTTCTTTCTTTTTTTTTGGTATGTTGAGAGAGGGACTCACTTTGTAGTTCCCCCTGGCCTCAAACTTGGGGTGAACCTTCTGCCTCAGCCTCTTTGCCTGTTGGGATTACAGGCATGCGCCACCACACCTGGCTAAATAAGCCACTCAGCCCATGATCGTTTTTTTTTTTTGTATCAGGATCAAACTCGGGACCTTGTACTTGCAAGGCAGGTGTGGTGCCACTGAGTTAAATCTTTGGCCCTCAAGTCATTTTCATTTTTGTTTTACTCCTTTCTTTTGCCGAAACACAGGTTCTAACTTCTGTCCTTGCTACATGAGATACAATATTTTGGGTCTTGTTTGTCTGAAAATACCTTTATTCCGTTGTCTTGCATATCTGGCTATGTATTAGATTCTAGGTTGAAAAGAATTTCCTAAAATTTTGAAAGTTATCTTGAAGGTCCAATTTTCTTCCAGTATTGCCATTGAGTCTTGCTCTATCTGGTCTGATCCCTGTTTTTTTACATGTGTTCTTTTACTTTTTCCTCTTTGGCAACAAGGAGTTTTCTTTTGAAATTTTATGCGGCTGTATCTTGATATGGGTCATTCTGTTGTGTACTAGGTATATAGTTACTGCTTTAGGCCTGGGTCATTTTCTTTTATAATTTTAAAAATAAGGTCATCTTTTCTTTTCTTTCCCCGTCATTATTGGGGATTGAATTGAGCACATTTGCATTGAGTTGTGTCCCTAGCCTCTTTTTAAATATTTATTTTGAGACAGGGTCTGGCTAAGTTGCCCAGGCTCAATTTAGTTCTCCTGTCTCAATTCTTCCCCTCCGCCCCTTGTCCCATGTTGGGATTATAGGTGTGTGCTACCATGCCTGGGTTATTTCTAACCTTTCTGAGGTTTTTGTTGACATATTTGATATTAAAGTGATTTTGTACACGTGTGTGTATGTGTGTGTGTGTGTGTGTGTGTGTGTATTTTTTTCTTTCCTCTCTGTCTTGTCTTTGAGTTGAGTCCTTTCATGTTAGAAGCTTTTATCAAATACCTATCTGGTAGTCACTGTCTTATGAGATTTAAGAACAATACATTAAAAAGGCAGTTTGACGCAAGGACCGGAGTTTGATTTCTGCCCCCCCAAAGCGATTTGAGCCGGATGTGGTGGCACACCCTTCTAATCCCAGCATTTGGTAAACCAAGGCCCAAGGACCATGCATTTGAGTATAGCCTTGGCCATTTAGTGAGAACCTGTGTAAATAAACCAGCTGATTTGAAGCTTTCCAAATGTGAGCAGAATTAGTTACTTCTAATTCTTTAGAATGATTAGGTATGGAATTGGCCTTCTCTTTGTTTTAGGACTCCCCAAATTTCAACAAATAGAATTATTCTCTGCCACTTCTTCCTGTCGGGTCTGTTTTTTCTGGCAAAGAGACCTCCATTTCTTGTCTGGAAATTTTCTTTTACCTGATTACATATGGGAGCTGAACTGGGGATGGTTTCATACTATAGGATATAAAATTACAAAGTATAGTTTTATTCAAATTTATAAATATGTAAAATTTCCTGTTTTCAGCCTCTGCCTCCTGCCCTCTGCTGTGCCTACAGTCCTGAATGCAGTCCTGTGGGGTTTAGGTGGAAGATATGGATATTTTGAGGATGTCAGCAGGGAGGTAGTTGGCCACCTGCTCTGTAATCAGACTCCTCCCAGTTCTGGCACTATGCCAAGCACGTCTGTCCATTCTGTGGGCTACATTCCTCATCTTTCAAATATATTTTTCATCCACAGACACACAGGTCTGAGTTTCTCTGCTCTGTTGAGTTGATTTCTACTCCATTTACTTTCTGTCTTGCAAATACCTATCAAAATAGTGATTTTTTAAATCTTCCTTATTATTGTTCTGTTGGTAAATACAATCTTTTCAATTCTTTACTGCTGTCAGGCATGGTAGCACATACTGTAATCCCAGAACTGGGGAGGCTGAGGTGGGGGGAGTCACCCCAAGGCCTGCCTGGACTACATAGTGAGACCCTGTCTCAACTCCCCCATCCCCACCTTCATTTCTATCATTTTTAGCAAGAGTTAGCAAGGGAAAGAACTGCGTTGGTGGATCTGCTCTATTTAACAAATTATGAGTAGCTTTATTACAAGATATCTATGATGTCTCTTTGGGAAAGGAGTTGGTATGACAAAGTAGAAGCACACATGCCAGTTATTATACTACAAGAATCTTGTATTGAGATGTAAAGAAGGGACCAACACAATATGTTAGGGTAAAAGAGGATTTCGTGGGCTGTGTATGTGAATTTGTATTTGTGCATGCACTTGGAAAGAAGACTGAAGATTAAAATTGCTATCTTTGAGCTCTAGTGTGGTGAATGGTTATGCAGGGTATTATGGCATAGGGAATAGTTAAGGAAAACAGTTTTTGTTTTGTTTTTGGTACCGGGGATCGAACTCAGGTCCTTGTGCTTGCTCCTTGTGCTTGCAAGGCAGGTGGCAGCACCACTGGGCTAAATCCCTGGCACAGGAAAAGTTTGTTTAAGGGAGAAGGGCTGTGGCATGGCTTTGGTGTTCTACCTGTTAAATTTCAGATGCCTGAAATAATCTAGATAAGATGTTAATTATGCATTTATATAAACAAAATTAAGTTTGGGCTGGAGACCAAATTTGATATCATCACTGGCAAGAGAGCACTCAGTATAACAGGTATGAAGAGAAAAGCGCCTGGATGGTAGTAGCATTTATCTGAGGAAGGTCCAGAGGTGGGAGATGAATGTGGGTGGTGTTACAGGGCACAGTGGGGTGAACTGTACTTTGAGAGGAGTCTTGTCAAGATCACTGACTGCATGTGTCTCATCACACAACCATGAGAAGATGAAGGTGCATGTAGTCCTCTGCGTGCAGTGCATTCTCTTCTAATTTAGCATGGCAGGTGCTTTCCTCCTTTAGAATATTTATTTTTATTTCTTCTGTGACCTGTTGGATACTACTTTGTATATATATATTTTCAGTGTGTATAGAAACGATTTCTGGCACATAACATTTAATAAGAACTTTTCAATGAATGGTTCCTCCAATAAAGTATGTAGGGGGACCACTTTGAGGTTGTTTTTTTTTGTTTTTTAAACTACTGGCTTGGTCAGTATGTGAACATTTTTTTAAAAAATTCATCTGTAGGTAGTTACCCCTCTTGCTACACTGAAAAATGTTATACAAATTACAGAATAATTTATTAATGGTCTTTTTAATGGATTTTTAAAAAATACTTGGGGGCTGGGGATTTAGCTCAGTGGTGCCACACCTGCCTTACAAATGCAAGATCCTGAGTTCAATCCTCAGCACCAAAACAAAACGAAACAAAACACAAGACTTGACTAGGGAGGTCCCTTTTTATTAGTAAAGAAATCTTGTCTGGAACAGATTGTTTCCCTCCGTGTATGTAATACATTTGTAGAAGAATCAGAAAATATTTGGAATTTCCGTCTCTGTGGGATTCTTTGCTAGGTGCTAAGGCACAGTTCTGAGCAGAGGCACTTATTACTCATAGGACTTCAGATAATAAACTTGGTTTTGCTTTTGGCTTTATGGACCATCCTATATTCACATTGCCTTTATTTTTCTCCTCCTGTAGAACACTTGTTTATGGTTGCTTTTGCAGATGTACTTCATTACTTATTTGTTTGATGTTTAAGGGACAAGCTTTGGAGCCAAAACAGGATTCTTTCCAAGGCCAAGAAGCAGCAGTATTGATGGATCAGAAGGCAGCCTTGTATGGGCAGACATACCCAACACAGGGGCCTCCACTGCAGGGAGGCTTTAATCTCCAGGGACAGTCGCCGTCTTTTAACTCCATGATGAATCAGATGAGCCAGCAAGGCAATTTTCCTCTCCAAGGAATGCATCCTAGGGCCAACATTATGAGACCTAGAACAAACACCCCAAAGCAACTTAGAATGCAGCTTCAACAGAGACTGCAGGGCCAACAGGTAATCAGCCCATGATGTCTGGCTGCAACCTAAATGATTTTCCCTTTTGCTTCACATTATTTCGTTTTCAGGCTGTGTTCCTTAGAGCTTTTACCACTGATTCTCCTTCCCTTGCCAGCTAAATAAATTCCTTTTGTTTTCACTGATGTGTAAGATTGTATTTGTACAGATGGCTCCTTAAGAAGAAATGATTAGTTACCTTCATACATGAATATTTCATTGTACAGGTTAAAAAGTAACAATGTCAAAAATAATTGCTCTTTTAGGGAAACAGTGTTTTTTGAGGACTTCAATATTTAAGTAGTTGATACTATAACCAAGTATTTAAGCCTTCTTGATGTCAGTAGTTTTTAGGTGTTTTATAAAATTAGAGCTCTTTTAATATTCTTATAGCTTACTTTTTCCCCTGTTGTGTCCTTAATCTCTAGTTAATGTTGTAAAATATTATTTCTATGGTTTATGTCTTAAGTCTGCTAAGTGATGGTACTAACCCATGAAGTAGGTGAGTGACTGAGTTTAGAATCCAATGAGCCAGTGATTCTGCAGTGCCTGAATATTCCTAGTAGTCAGCTTAGGTGCTTGGGAAAGCTTTGTTCCTGGTATTACTGTAGTTTTCATCATTTCTTCCCACTAAAAGTCACTTAGGAAAAAGTACCAGGAGGTAATTTATTCACAGTTACTCTGATAACATTAAAGCAGTTTCTGCAACTTCCTGAATAATCACAGGGAAAACCCGACTGTATAAATCCTTCAAGTTCCTGTAAATACAGTTTTTTAAACTCTTGACGTGTGTTATTTTTCTCCCAGTACCAAATGAAAGCTTTGCATTACTGGGCAAGTTTATTTCAGCAATTACTTTTTTTGTTTGTTTAAATTAATGGTTTTTGCATTGTTAAAATGTACCAGCTCAGTTTAGATGGGACTTACCAGGTTAATGGGTTTGGAGATACCATCGTGACCTTACTTGGTTTAGGGCATGTTGACATGTTCCCCTTCCATCCTAACAAACTTGTTTCTCCTCAGTTCTTGAATCAGAGCCGGCAGGCACTTGAAATGAAGATGGAGAACCCCACTGCTGGTGCTGCTGCAGTGATGAGTCCTATGGTGCAGCCCCAGGTGAGCTCCCAGGTGAGGAGGAGCCTTTGCCTTCACTGCCACACTCCAGACAGGGCTGGGTTTGTGGCTAGCTCTCAGTCATTGTATGCTGAACAGAATAAAGTAATTTTGAATTTCTTGTGAAATTTCTTGTGAAACTGTTCCATGTACAGGTTGAATTTTGTTTCTCTTGATGGTGATGGGAGTAATAAGAGGAGAGGTTCATTAAAACCACCAGTTGAGTGTTGTTTTACCTTACTTCCCATTGTAATCATTTGATGTGTTGTGAGACAAACTATCACTTAACATTTTAGGAATTAAAAATAATAATTCTGTAAATGTCTTTGTGCCTAGATTATGGAACCACACACTTACTGCGTAAGAGATACTTTTTCTTTTAATCTTACTGAGTTTATTGATACTTTAAAAGTATACAGTACAGTTACATTCATCATTGGGATCTTGTTACCTTTGCATGACAGATCTCGATTCTCATTTCTTCCCCTTGTTCCTGCCCTCCCTTTACCCCCTCTCCCCTCCCCTATTTACAGAGTCTTTGTTTCCATTTATTCCTTTTCTCATATTTTTTCTTTTCCCTTATTTCCTTTACCCTACCCTTCCCATTTCCCCTACACCTTTAGCCCAGATACTCTATTTCTTCTAGTTTTCTCTCCTCTAGCAGCCAAGTAGGCATTGTAGACAGGGCTGGGATATAGTGCACTGTGTGAAGGCCCTGGATTCAGTCTCCAGCAACCCCACCCCACCCCACACCAATCTAGTTCAGTGTTCAGGAGGCAGTTGACAACATGACAGTCCTCTATCTACTGTAATTATAAATATTATTGATAATCCAGTTTCACTATCTTAGGCCTACATGGAAGTACTTACTGATACTTTCGTGTTAATCATCATCCTGTATAAACTGAGCTAAGATGCCTCCCAAGTACATAGTAAAACATTTTACTTTTTTAGAGAGTTGATCTTTGCTTAGTTAGTTCATAGAGCCTGAATCAGTGTCATTTTACAGTTTTACCCTTTGTTTGGAGTTTTGTTTTGTTTTTTGTACTGGGGAAATCTTTAAAACTGGGTAAGATGGCTCCCAAATAACATATAAAAACATTTTACTTTTTAGAGAGTTGATCTTTGCTTAGTTAGTTCATAGAGCCTGAATCAGTGTCATTTTACAGTTTTACCCTTTGTTTGGAGTTTTGTTTTGTTTTTTGTACTGGGGATCAAACTCAGGACCTTTTTGTGAGGTAGGTGGAGACCTTTTTATTTCTTTTGGTGGTACTGGATATTGAACCAAGGTTCTTAACACAGATCTACATCCCAGTTTTTCCTTTTTTGTTTTTAAAGTTTTTATTTTGGAACAGGTTCTCTCTAAACTACCGAGGTTGATTTGAACTTGTGATCCTCCCACCTCAGCTTGACAGACTGCTCAGATTACAGGTGTGAGCCATCACACCTGGCCCTTTAGTCTTACCATGTTACCACCTTAACTTTCTTTTGGTCTTCTACCTCTCCTTTTGGAAAGTTGAAAGACTACAAGACCTCTGAGGTCTCTGCTTATCTGAATAGAACCCCATCCTTTATTTATTTTTTTCTTTTTTCTTTTGGTACCGGGGATTGAACTCGGGTCCTTGTGCTTGCAAGGCAGGCCACCGAACCACTGAGCTAAATCCCCAGCCCCCATCCTTTATTTCTTGTCTTTTTTTCTTTTGGTCAGTGGGTTCCTTCCTGTTACTCCTTTTCCTTCCCTCCCTTCTCCCTTCATGTCCTCCTCCCTGTCCCTGCCTTTCTGAAACTAGGGATTGTACCCAGGGCCTCTGTGCTAAGCTACATCCCCAGGTGTTTTTGATTACTTTTTCATTTTGAGATTGGGTCTTGCTGAATGATTAAGTTGCCAAGCCTGTGCTTGGACTCAGGCTCCTCTTGCCTCAGTCTCCCAGAGTGCTGCGATTAGGTATATGCCACCATACCTGGCCTCTCTAAAAAGATAAGGTTTTTTAATTCTGCCCTGGCAGGCCTCAAATTTCTGAGCTCTCAAGAGAGCTTGTCTCAGCTTCTTCTGAGTGTTGAACAACAGGTATGTGCCAGTGTGCCAGGCTCAGAAAGTTTTTAATTATGATGAATTATTTTCTTTTTCATTTAATTTTAAAGACAGACACTAGATACTTTTCTCTCTTTGATACCAATGCATTATGGGGGCACTATATGTATGAAACTGGTTGGCTTTTGCTATTTGTAATTGTGTTCTTTTTGGGTATTAGCAGGGTTTTCTTAATGCCCAGATGGTTGCCCAGCGTAGCAGAGAGCTGTTAAGTCATCACTTTCGACAACAGAGGGTGGCGATGATGATGCAGCAGCAGCAGCAGCAGCAGCAGCAGCAGCAGCAGCAGCATCAGCAGCAACAGCAACAGCAGCAGCAGCAGCAGCAGCAGCAGCAGCCACCGCCCGCAGCCGCAGCAGCAAAGCCAGGCCTTCAGCCCACCTCCAAATGTGACTGCTTCTCCCAGTATGGATGGCGTTTTGGCAGGGCCTGCAATGCCACAGGCTCCACCACAGCAGTTTCCATACCCACCAAATTATGGTAAATGTCCCATCCCCAAAGTAACATTTCTGAGGACTTAGCCAGGTCTGTTGTTCATGGAAAACAAATACTATTACTTCACAAGAAAAGTAAAATTATTTTAAAATAATGGAGAACCAAAATGTTTGCTATAGGTAATTGAGGCACGTATATTCTTTTGCGGTTTTTTTTTTCAGGTCTTGTTTTTTCAGCTCTCTACCTCTTCTTTTGGGGAGGAATACTACAAAATTCTCCTGTGATTTTTTTACATGTCCCAGTATAGCAGAACTTTAATCTTTTCAATATTTAAGTCTGTGAGAAGGATGTGCTATCTTGGGCCTTTAAGTTCCTTTTTGTGGTGACTTGAACTTAGCATTAATGATGATAATGTAGCAGCTCAACCTTTACAAGGTTCTAGAAACATAGTAGGTAGGGTAGGTATGTTTATGTGGGGACCTTACATATCCGGATGCAGCTCTGCTTTCTGGGGGATGATAGCTTCTCTGCCCTTGAAAGAGGGATGGACAGAGTGGTATGAGTAGAATGTTACGGATTCCCTTTTATACAGAAAAGCTTTTGAAGCAGCTGTCCTTCCCCCAATCTAGATGTGTGCCTTTCACTAGGTAGTAAGTCTGTGACCCTAGCTGTCACGGTGAGAAGCAGGAATAACTTGGAGACAGCTTCTTGTAGCGCTTCACATCTTATTTCTAAAAAAAGAACTGAGTAGCATTTCAACATCATTCTTTTTAAGGAATGGGACAACAGCCAGATCCAGCCTTTGGTCGAGTGCCCAGTCCTCCTAATGCAGTGATGTCATCAAGGATGGGTCCACCCCAGAACCCCATGATGCAGCACCCACAGACTGCACCCCTGTATCAGTCCTCAGAAATGAAGGGCTGGCCATCAGGAAACATGGCCAGAAACAGGTAAACAATAATGAGTCTAAACACAATTCACATCCTAGTGCCAGAAACTCAGGAAATTAAATTTTTTGCATTTTTAATTCATACTTGATTTGATGGAGAAATCAGAAGGCCCAGGTTCATGTCCGAAAATGTTATTTGGCTTGTTTCTTTTGAGGATCCTGTGTACCATGCACATACCTTTTAGGGTATTGAGTACAACTAGCTGTGAAAAATGGAAGGCCTTGCTTAATTTACAGGGGGGCAGGTTGACAAATTGTGTTAGACTCTTTGGGTGCCAACTTTTGAAACGACTCAAAGTAGTATCACACTTTGTTTACAGCTCCTTCCCCCAGCAGCAGTTTGCTCACCAGGGGAATCCTGCAGCCTATAGTATGGTGCACATGAATGGCAGCAGCGGTCACTTGGGACAGATGAACATGAACTCCATGCCCATGTCGGGGATGCCCATGGGTCCTGATCAGGTATGGGGATTGATTTCATATGTGAAGAGACTCTAAACCTCTAAAGCCTCACCTGTATTCTGAAGGTATAGATAGATTTCAACTTGGATATATAATTTTAAAATATGGCATTTGGCTCACATGCCTGTAATTCCAGCACTGTGGGAGGCTGAATTCCAGCTTTGGCAATTTAGCAGTTTAGTAAGATGTTGTCTTAATATAAAAAAGGCTGAGGGTATGAAGGCCCCAAGTTCAATTCCCAGTGCTACCCTCCCTAAAAGGGGGGAAAAAAAAAAGGTTTGAAGGCCCTGGCCCATTAAATATTTTTGGTAATGTGGGCTCTTACGATGTCTGAACTGGTCAGCCACAGCTACATGTCACATCCTGTGTGTAGACAGTGTTTGTTTTTGTGGCGGTCATTTTGTTTTTGTTCTGTTGAGCACATGTTTTACTAATGTTTTCTTCTGGTTGATAACAGAAATATTGCTGACATCGCCATATCTGGACCACTAAGGAAATCACTGTACAAATGCTACTGCTGTAGGATTATTGGGAGGTAAAGAATCATTGTCCAGGCATCCACTTGTGGAGTGAGGACCAGCTTTGATCTCCATCAGGGATATTTCAAGTTATGTCATTTGAGCAGGACTAAATCTTAAGCTCAAGCGCAGTATCTTTTTTTGTTGTTGTTTTCCTCCTGTACTTTGGTATATCATGGTGTTCAAAACAGAGTATTTTTGACATTCTGCCTCCTAGGAATGTGATCACAATATTCTCCTATGTTACTTCCTTCTGCCTTGCTAGCCAAAGTCTTTCAGCTAAATGTCGGTGGTCTGGAGAGATCAGAACATCTCTGTCTCTAGTTATAATATTGGACAGAGAGCATAGTCCCAGCCTTCAAGTGTTTTGTTCCATATAGTAATTCTACGCTGCTCTTTATGCAGTGGATTTGGTGTTTCTGAGTTTTTGTCCTTTGCTGATTGAGTTGCTCTGTCCCTAGTTTTTATTGTCCTAGGCCTTCTCCTTATGAACCTTTTCATTGGGCTCTAAGGTCCTGTGATGACTTCACTTCCAGGGCTTGTTATTGATGTCCAGTAGCTTTGAAGAAGGGAAAATGAGATGACAGTATTTAATTGCATCGGTGGCAGTTTTTTGTATGCTAACGTGCAGCTGAGTGCACTTTAAGTAAATAAGTAATGGATAAATGCAATATTCTTGAGGTCTTGAGCAATGGTGAACCACATTCCTGGTTTTTGTCTACACTAATCTGTTGGACAAGAACTATGATTATTATTATTATTTTTAAAGTACTGGTGTCACCCTTTGCCTATATGGTAGAGCAATAATGCTTTTTGAAGATAAACTTCTGAAACTCTTAAGGCCAGGTACTGCCTTCTGAATCAGAAGTTTGCAGTGTTTCTGTGAATAATTTTTGTAAATATGACCCATTAAGATATTGTATTATGTAAAATATGTATATACCTTTTTTTTGTAGGTCACAACAACTCATTTTTACAGAGTTTGTGAAGCTGAATATTTAACATTTGTCAATTTTAGTAAGCTCTGTGGTGAGGATTTGAACTAGATCCCTGAATCACCTGGGTGTGTGGGTGGAGGGGACGATAAGGGTCTAGCTTTTCCTCTCCCCCAGCATTAGATGCCTCACTCTTTTCATTCTCTCAATCTAAATGCTTTTTAAAGAGATCATTTGTTTAGATGTGAGCATTTAAATTTATTTTTAATTCCTCTGTCCAAGAACTAAGCACTTTGTTAATTTGGGGGGAATGAATAGATATGGAGAAAAAAAAAATCAGTAACTTGAAGAAAATCAATTTGATTTAAAGAAAATCTTCTGGATTTTAAGCAGCCTATAAATTTTCTTTTCTTTTGCAAAATTTAAATTAAGTACTAGGTTGTCTTTTCATGCATTATAGGAGTGCTGTAAGATTTTGGTTGCTAGGAGCTGAATTCCACATTGAGATTGCAGGAGTTAGAATCCTTGGTGTGTGGTTTCTGGTGTCTGCTCAGCTATCATTATTTTTCTAATACGGAGTTTTCCCTACATGCCTGTAAATTAGAATAGTGTCACTGTTATTTCTTAAGGAGCTTAGTACCCAGAACAGACTTTGTGTTGTAATTATTCAGAACCATAGTCTGAATACCTTTGCAAACCCTTGTCCCCCAAGTCTCCCCACCACTTTGTGCTGTTGCCTGTCCTTGGTACTTCTAGTCATTCTGGAGTAGGGGAAAAGTCAAGTTTACTGAGTTATTCTGTTAGGTTCAAACAGTGGAATGAAACTTCGGTTTGGAATATCTGTAACTTTCAAATGTCTTTGCATATCATTTTTGAGTAATAACTCAGAACCTATTTTTTATTTATTTTTATTTTGTTTGGTTTTTTTGAGACAGGGTCTATGTAGTTGAGGTTGACCTGGAACTCACTATGTAGCCCTGGCTGGTGTCGAACTCATAGTGAACCTCCTGCCTCAGCCTCCCGAGTGCTGGGAATACAGGCGTGCGCCGCCACGCCTGGCCAGTTCATTTTTTTTAATTTCACACATTTAGCAAAACTTTCTAGATGTCTTTGAAGTTGGCTAATTTAATTTCTTTGATATGTTTAAGAATGAGTGAAGCGCCCTATTTCTGGTACCACACCTACAATGGATTTTATTTTCCCAGCACTTGCAGACCATTTTGTTTGCCACTCTTATCCCTTCTCCGCAGGTTAAAAATAAATCTCAGATTTTAAAATGATAAACTTCCATTGTACAGCTTGTGGTTTTCAGTTTGATACCTTCTTTTTGGGTCACAGAGGCATACCCCAGAGTCTTTCAGTCCAGGTAGGTTAGGTGTGTCTGAGCTTTCCCCAAGCTAATTGACAGAATGGTGCTCCTGCCTTTCTTGACTCTTAAAGAGTTATTCAAAACAAAGCTTTGTGGTTCTTTTCTCAGGCCTAACTCCAGGCTACCTAGAAGGCAGCAGCGTCCCGTTTTAGTATGGGAAAAACATGTTTATCATGTTTCTGTATTTTCTACCTGTTGATTTTTATTGGTGCAAGCTCAAGATTTTGATTTTAACAGATGCAGTCTTTGAGATAATTTGTTGTTTTTACCTCTATTGTCCTTTAATCTTTTTTGGACAATTCTTTGTACTCCTGCTGCCTACCTCTCCTCGTTCTCAGCACCCCCATCCCTTTTTTTAAACCTAGGTATTTCTTGGGTAAAGAGTATAAGTAGTCTTTTCATCTGCTTTTAGATTGTGGGATATTTCCAGTACCTACTTTTTTGCTGAATCCAAAGATATATAAATAAAAATATATATTTTATGAAGATCAAAATGATATAAAGGAGATAACATGTCTCTTCCTTAAAAAAAAATAGAAGTTTCATTATTAATGTTCATATTATGCTGCCATTTTTCTTAATTGACCATCTGGATTGAAAGGTGTAAATATGATTGTGGGATATTTCCAGTACCTACTTTTTTGCTGAATCCAAAGATATATAAATAAAAATATATATTTTATGAAGATCAAAATGATATAAAGGAGATAACATGTCTCTTCCTTAAAAAAAAATAGAAGTTTCATTATTAATGTTCATATTATGCTGCCATTTTTCTTAATTGACCATCTGGATTGAAAGGTGTAAATATCTCTAAACAGTCCTACTTAGTCTATCAGTCATGAATATATAAAGTGAGCTAGGGTTGGGTACTATAGAAGATAATTGGCTTGGTGTCCTAGAAGTACTTTTTTCCAGAGGTAGAAGCAGCTGGAAAGTAAACAAAATAGATTGCCAGTTGCCCCTAAGCCAGTCCAGGCCCCTTCTTATTTGCAGAATCCAAGTTTAGTTCACAAATGGGAAATTTACAGGTGCATATATCTTCTAGGAGATAAGACGATTTACCCCTGTAGCAGAGGAATAAATAAGTCGTGTTCACTTCCAAGGTAAATCATTTCAAATGAGCAGGATGTTTTCTTATTTTTCCCTCCTTTCTTTCCAGTATGTATGTGGAATTTTGAAGAAGATAGAAATGTCATTCTGAGAGCAATATTTAAATTTCTCAGGAATTGACGTACAGTATTAAGAATTAATTTGATTTCAATCAAGTTTACACTAAGTGTTGATTTAGAAAAATTGCAAAGAATTTAAACCACATGGGATGGCTCACTAGATGGGATGGTGAGCTGCAACTTCTTTGATTACCATTTTGGATTTCCTTGTAAATAAAGGTTTCTATTTAAAATTGGTGATTATGAGCATGATTCCCCCCCACTGCATCACATTGGATTAAGGGAAAAAGAGAAAGTTAAAGCCTATTTCAAATAACAGTGGCAGTTTCTGTTAAAAACAGTGTTTTTACAAAACACACTTAAGAGAATCATCTGTCAAATGAGAAATGGGTTGGACTGCTGATGGCGAGGTTCCTCCTACTACTTGAATTCTGACAACCATCTGTACCAGGTTGGAGTATCTGGATAAAGGTGGTAAGGTGAATTGCTTTGCTGTTAATGCTTTTAAAAAATGAAACCTAAGGCTGGTGTAATGTGAAATTTATCACTAGGGAGGCCCCTCCTAGTATGGTATATTGTAGTTATTATTTATAATCATTTGCTACCCTTAAAAAAAACACTTCTACACTTAAGCAAGGGATCTGCTTCACTGGTAGTATCTTGAGTGCTTTTAAAAACACCAACCAAAAAAACAAAAAAAAAACCAAAAAAAAACAAAAAAGCCCAAAGGAAAAAACCTCAACTCCCAAGCAATGGTTTTTTACAAAATGTCAGATTTCTTCATATCAGTACTGGTCAATGCCTAGAAGTTTGAACATTGTATGACAATACTTAAACTACAAAATATCTTTACAAATACAAACCTGAGACATATAGCAACTTCATTTTTTTTCAGTATCATAAAAGTATCAGTTCTGGAATGGATGACAAAGGAATGAATATTGGGAGAAATATATTTGGGCAGGAACAGAAATGTCCACAACTGCATGGGATTTTCTTTCACACTGGCCACAGAGCGTTTATTGACACCACCACTCTTGAAAAATTGGTATTTCTCATTAGAGTCCCTTAAAAGTTCCCATGTTGGTTACATGTAAATAGTCACATATATACAAGGAAGGCAGTTTCTTCAGAGGCAACCAGGGTTACAGTGCTTGTAACCCTGTCACTGTTTTTGTGCTATTGACTCATTATCTGTGCAGTTACCAGCATCTGCAAGTTGCCCATCCTACTCACTTCTCTTTGTGATGAATCAAAAGAAAAAGTGGATTTAAAACAGGATTGTTTTTCTTCAAACCCCATGGTTTAAACAAATTGCAGCAACTTTCACCTCTGGGGTAAGTTTTCATGAAAATCTGTTCTTTTTTCCTTGTGAGCGTCTCAGAGGAGGTTAGTGGTGACTTTTTGATATGAAAATGCATTTTGTGCAGCTGGTGAGGTATAATCCAAAGCAAAGCAGGGGCAAAATGGACTTCCTGATGGACTTCCTGAAGTTCTCTGCTTCTAATGGTTGTCCTCCAGAATTTGCCGATGTTCACTGAAAGCAGTTGTCTGTCTCAGACCTCCTGGCCTGTATCACAGGTCAGTTGGGAATGAGATGTGATTTGTTCTTCCTGGCCTGTTACAGTCAGGTGAACACTCTGATTTTGGAGGTCCATGCCTATTGCTGCTTAACCTTCCCAGCCTTCCCACAGTTGTCCCCTGTAGAACAAAACAAACTCCTCTCAGCCTTTGGGTGACACTACTGTTTAGGATTTCTGCAGCTGAGTAAGCTTCGCTTCAAGGGTGTGGCTGCTGAAAATGAGTATTTCTAGATCACTCCTCACACCCTGCCCCATAGTCTCCGTTTTTAGTTACTCACTTATATAGTGGCTGGCAAGAATGACATTTAAATTGCTGAGGAGAATGAAAACTCTGGAAGCAGCAAAGAAATGCTTCTTCCTTTTTTTTTTGGTACCAGGGACTGAACTTAGGTCCTTGCAAGGCAGGCATTGGAACCACTGAGATAAATCCCCAGCCCAAAATGCTTCTTTCTTCAACAATAAATAACAGGCCACTAAACAAGTAGACCAGGATTGCAAATGGCAGGCAGGTCACTATGGGGGTTGGTTTGCCCACAGGGTAACTTAATGTCCAATTAGTTGCTACTGTCAAAAGTGAATTATCACATGAATAATCTGCAGTTCTCTTGCAGGGGACAAACCATCTACCCTCATTAGAAGTGTGGTGATCTTTCTAGTTTACCACAGTCTCGTGCAGTCCCTGCCAACCTCTCGGCACTAGAGTGACACGTGATAGGATGGACTTTTTGGAAGTCATTTAATGAGGTCACCCTGTTACTGGTGGTGCCCACCAGTTAGTGCTCTGGCAGCCACAGCCTTCAAGATGCCTAGCAGTTGTAAGTCAATAGCTCAAGTTTACTAAGCACAGATTATTATAGAGAGAACAACCGTTTTGGATATGATATTAATGGGAACAGTGAGGGTAGTAGAAAATGGCATGCAAAAAGAAGCAAGTCAGAACCAGATTGGTATCTGTAAATGGACTAGTTCCTCAACTCACAGTGATTTGGAAGATGGTCTCTTCATTTCTGGCCATTTTCGACGCTGAAACTGCCTAAGTTTTCAAGTTTCAAAAGGAGAATGAATGTTAACCATCACAAAGAAAGAAAGTCATCCCCCAAAGAACTATACAGAGAAGGACACCTGTCACTGTTGGGTAATACAGGCCCCAGGCCGAGTGAGAAACAAGTTTCTCAACATAATGGGTTAATCCGCACAGATGAGACTAAAGGTTGGGTCAAGATATGGTAGCCTTTCTCCAATTTTAGAAACAAAAGTGAATACCTGTATTGCTCGTAGTTTCCTCCATCTTTAAGTCCTGAATGAGGGAAAAATGAACAAACAGGAACAGACATTTTAGGCAAAAATGGTACAGGCAATAACAAACTTATAGAAAACCTTAGGCTTTTTGTCACTATCCCAGGATGCCAAGTGTTCTCCAGTTAGATGGAGTGGACCGTATGAGATGAGCTTTCCTCCGGTCTCCTGGGGTGTCCTGTAGGTCGTCTGCCACCTGATGTCACCATGTCGGCTGTAGGAGGTGCCTTCATCCAGCACTGTCCTTAGTCATGTGGGGGAGGTAGCCCTGGGCTTGAATGCTTGTGCTACAGTGGACTGACACCAAAGGTCCCAAGAAAGGTGTCCTGAGGATACAGCAGTATGATAGGTGCAGGGGCTGTTAAGTCAGCCGACTGGGTTCACTTTATTCATCCATAGAAGATTCACCTCAGAAGGCTGTCATGAGCATTCTCTGTGAGTGTATATAAAATGCTTAGCACATTACATGGTGTACAGTGATATGTGATGGCAATGATTTGTGCACTGCTTGGTAGAGCGGGCATTGTCAGTGCCACAACTTCTGTAAACTCTTACTTTCCCCTTTTTATAACCAAAGCTGACTTTAGCAACTAGATTCTTCCTTTTCAGCTGTTTAGCCACTTTTCTGACAGGAACCCTAGGTGTCTTACTTGACACAGGTAAAAACTGCCTGTGGGCCTTCAAGTACCATAGGGTTTAAGGTTTATCTGTGTTTTGTTGTAGCCAGTGAATGAATAGCTTCCTTCATTTAGAAGGGGTTTGAGGTAGGTCTTGCTATGCAGTTTAGGCTGGCCTTGCACTCACTATGTAGCTAAGTCTGGCCTTGAATTTGTGGTGATCCTCCTCCTGCCTCTCCTGAGTGCTGGGATTACAATTGTGCACCACCACACCTAGCTAGGTTTTCTGTTTTTTAAAAACGGTATCTATTCAGCATCCTGAACTTAGAACTGCCAATTTTGTTCTTGTCCCACACAAAGTATGTGACTTTCTTCACTATGTTCTTGTGGGCTTCACCACCTGGATCTCCAGTCTACCACCTTCCCTGGATAACTGTTGTCACTGTTTGGTCCTCTACTTGACAATTTTTGAGTATCCTTTTAAAATATAGACTGTCTCTAAAAAGAAAAGAAAATATAAAAAAACAAAGAGAAGAAAAAAAATATATAGACTGTCTCCCTGCTCAGGGTTAAACCTTCCACACTGGCTTCCTAAAGCACTGAAACGAATTCAGAATTTCCTGCTGTGGCCTACCAAGCTCTTACAGGATGGTTTTCTGAGCTACCTGTCACTTTCTACCACCTTCACTTGCCTTGGCCCTGACATTGCTGGGCTTCTGCCCATCATCACACTCCACTCCAGGAATGCCAGCCCTCCGGGGTCTAACAGTTGATTGTTTCTTACTCTCCAGGGCTTAGCTCAAAGATCACTTCTTAGAATGGCTGTTCCTGATCTGTACCCTATATGCAAGAACCCTCTCGTGGTTACACTGTATGATGTCATTCTGTTGTGTCTTCCTTCAAGCCAGCGGCTTCCCCCATGGGCTGTTGTCCTGAGCAGAACGACAACTCCACATGAGGTCACAGAGTATGGTCAGCTTTTTGATTTCCAGTAACCAGCATGGTCCCAGGTCTTAAGTTCCTAGTAAATGTTTTTTTTTTTGAGACAGGATCTCACTATGTAGTTGAGACTGCCCTGGAACTCATTATGTAGCCCAGGCTGGTCTTGAACTCACAGTGATCCTCCTGCCTCAGCCTCCTGAGTGATGGGATTACAGGCTCTGCCACACCCAGCCCTTAATAGATGTTTGATAAATGAATGCGTGAATGAATGAAAAAATGAGAAAAATAGAAGGAATCTTGTGTGTTCTATACAAATGGTCTGGGTCAGTGATGGTGAACCTTTTGAAGCTTTCAGTGGTAAAAACCCACTGTAGCATGCAGGCCATAGGTTTGCCATCATTGGTCTAGGTACTTGTCTTTTTTTTTGGTACCGGGGATTGAACTTCTAGGTACTTGTCTTTAAGGAAGTGCAGCTCATCAAAAGTTGGCAGTCTTCCTGCCATGGGCAGGGGATGCCCATAAGTTTCCAGATGATTTGTCTTGAATTGTGTCATCCCCTGACTCCTGTTGACCCAGGCTCACTCCCTGGGTAGATATAACCTATGTAAATTTCTTCCTGTGGCTACCCTGTTCTCTGCAGGCTCCGCTAGGGCACTACTTACCCAGGTCCATGTTCCGAGTCCGGGGGTTACATTGCTTGTAACCCTTGCAGCTCCTCAGCTCCATGAGCTGCACATGTAGCTGATTGAGGACATCCCTATCCAGTGTGTTCACTGCATTCATCAGCTGGTTGGGAAAAAGGCAGGCTGTCAACAAGGTGAATCCGGAGCCTCTTGCCTCCCTCTGCGTTTGCCAGCCAGGGGAGTGTTTCAGGCAGGCCAGGAGCAGTGGCTCCTGAGAAAAAAGCCAGGAGGTGGGGTTCACCCCACTCTTCATTTCTGTAAGAGCTAAGATTTCAAAGGGTTAGGTGATGTTTTAGCTTTTGTTCTCACCAGGTCCTCTTAATGAGAATGGAAACTTATGTGAAACTGGGTCTGTGCACTTACTGCTGAACTTCTGGAGCCTGGTCAGGAAACTTGCCAAGTTTGGAAGCCCTTTCAAGCCTTAGGTTTATCTATAGCCTTCATTCAGTGCCTGAGTTTCCTTTGACTGAAAAGGGGCCATTCTGTGAAGGGATGGGTAGTGACTGGGTCCTTGCCTAGTCTGGGAGCTACTAGTGATCATTTAACTTGCATGGTGTGCCACCCTTTCTGGTCAGCTACACAGTGACCTGTCTGAGGAGAAGACTACTAGCCTACATGGTAAATGTTCAGATAAAGCAGCTGAGCTGCCGACATTTAAAAATGAAAGTTATCAGACTTTTCTTGAAGGTTGATGGTGGGACAACAGCAAGGCCACACTGCAGCATAGCTCTAGGCTAAAGCGTTGTAGTGACTGTTCCTGTATGAGGGCTCACATGTTGCTTGCACTCCTAGACTCTGGACCCCTGAGATCGTGTGTGTGTCTAGCTGATTTAAAATGTGGTAACACTAAGCGCAGTGTGTGGCACACATGCATGCTGGCGGTTCAGGTTGCATTCATCATTTGTAAGTTCCTTGTAGGCCTGGGGTGTTCAGCACCACCAAGAAGTCCTTAGGGAGCTTCCGTGAAGTTAACTTACACCTAAGTTAGACAACAGGTAATGGAGGCAGAGGCGGGCTGGTTGGCCATGGAGTCCCTAGATTGTCAGTGGCTTCGGAACTTATTCCTCCAGTCCTAGGGACTTAGTGGGCCTTGGAAACTTGTTTGTTTCCTGGGGGTGAGGGACCTACTGGCAGTGCTTGTGTAGCCCACATCCCTCCCTCTCCAGATGGTTCTGTCTGTACCTGGTAGGGGTCTGTGTTGAGGTCAAAATACTCCAGGAAGCCAGTGGCAAATTCACAGAAGAGGAAGTTATGGGTCTCGTTGATTGTCCTCATGCACCAGTAGGTATTGTTGTTGGCACTGGTGCAGGCACAGAAAGGCCCCACTGCCAAGGGAAGAAAGACCATGCCTTGAATGTGTCTGAAGGAAGAAGTTTAGGCTGGCAGCTGATTCCTGTCAGGGACAGCCCCTGAGTCAGTTCCTCAGATGCCAAATGACACTTGTAGACTGCTGATGTTGGCACCTGTTTTTCCAAGAGACCCGCAAGGCAGCGCCTCACAGGGCAGGTGGCTTACCATGCAAAGTGGACCCCAGCCTCCCATCCCCGTCCTATGTCTGCTCCCAGCCTCCTCACGTGTCCAGAGAGGTGCTGTTTGCCAGTGCTGGTTGTCGTGGGTGAAACATGTGAGGCCTGGCATGCTGCATGTGTCATTGTTCTGCAGACGTTTGAGCAGCTTTCGAAGTTTCTTCTTGCGCTTCTGTTCCCGCAGCAGCCACACCTTGTCCTTCTCCTGCAGACCCTTCCTAGGGGCAAAAAACACCACACAAGAGGCAGGATGTGGTAGCACACGCCTATAATCACTGGGAGGCTCAGGCAGGAGGACTGCTGTGAGTTCGAGGCAAGCATGAACTACACAGCAAGACCCTGTCATAACCCCCAAAACCCCCCACAAAACAAATAGAACTGTGAAGTACTGGGCCTCTGAGGGATCAGTAACCGAAACCTGTGCTCTGTCTACCCTCAGGGCTGGACTGAGCCTTCTATAACAATAAAGTACGGCGGGCATAACTGCGGAAGACTCCCAAGGCCCACGTAGAGCTGGGACCAGAACTTGGGGCTTTTCTCCTGTACCGTCTCCTCCCCCAACTTTGGTACCAGGGATCGAACTCGGGCCCTTGTACTAGTGAGGCAGCAGGCAGTGGCACCACTGAGCTAAATTCCTGGCACCCTCCTGTACCATCTTTCAGTGCCTCCCGAGAAGAAAGTTGGGTGGCCACTGGAACTCCTGTTCAAACTGTCTCCTCCCCCTTCTGGGATTTCAGCCCCACTGGTGGGGTTCCAGCAATCCCATTAGCCATAAGGGTATCTGGACTTCTGCTCAGTATGGCTTAGGAGTGAGGCCTCTCTAAGGACAGCCACACCCCTCCCAGGGAAAGCTAGGACTTTCTTCCTTGTTTATTGTAGTCAAGGGAAGGCAGCCTCTTGAGGGCTCTGTTATATCTGGAGCCCACTTACCTGAAAGGATGCAGGCTGGAGCCTTTGTGCTTGAGGCGGCCTCTGTGTTGGGTGTGGTAGCTAGAACAGATCCCAGTGTCAGAGGTGTGCAGGATAGAATTCCTAGGACTCCCTCAGTCACTGCTGCCCTGCCCTGCCCCTCTCCTGCAGTGGTGGTAGGAAGTCAGGGTGGCGGCTCCTGGCTCTTCCAAGTGTGAGCTGGGAGCTCCTGGTTGAAGGCCTTAGGCCAGATTTTATGTTTTGTTTTGTTTTTTCCCTGTGTGTGTGTGTGGGTGGGAGGTAAAAAGAGGGAATAATTTAACCAAGTCTAGAAGCTGAGCCTGGCTTCAGGTGGTGTCAGCCTTGGGCTCTTGAGATTGGTTCCCACCACCCCCTTCAGCTTATACTAAGCCAGGCCAGCTTTGGAGATACACTGTTTTACAGGCCTTCCTGGGAAGGCAGCAGAGGAGGTGCAGGGGTGCTGTCCAGTTCAAGAACTACAGACCACATGTGGCTACTTGAGCTTAAACTGTGTGAAATGGAAAATGCTGTGTCTGTGGCTACTACCTTGGGCAATACAGATGAGGCATGTTTCCATCTGTGTGGGAAGTTCTTTTGGACAGGCTGCTGTGGACTAATGTCCTTTGGGTTAGGGGGCCTGACCTTTGGATCAGTGGACCTTAAGCCATGTGGGTGATTTCCCAAGGCACGTGGCAGAGGTGCTTTTCCTAGAGCCAGCCCTGGACAGTAGAGCCTGCCACCTCTGAGCAGGGCAGCAATTCAGGCCCCTGAGGGGTTCGTGTACTATGTGCCCATTTGGCTCACAATGGGGATATCAATTACTGATTGTTTTTTTTAAACCCTGAGGGTAGGGTCAAGAATGAAAGAGGTTAATAATGAGAGGTGGTGCTGGGTCCTAGGAATGATCCTCAGGAGGGCACAGGGCCATATGCTAACTCCTCACCTAATTTTGTGGCAGTCACATTCTTCTGGGCGCTTTTTCTTCAGATGACCTCGGACTTCCCTGAGGTTCTTAATTTTGTTCTGTAGGGTTTCGATCTGAGGAAGGAGCAGGAGAGGAGGCCTTGAAGCTAATGGGCTGGGTGAAGGAGGACATGGCCTAGTGACTGCCCCGACTCTACCTCTTCTGCGCTTGGGCCCCATGGACGTGCCTGCATTTGTGGGTGCTGAGGAGGCACTTGGTTCCCCTTTCTAAAGGCAACCCCCTTCCCTCTCACCAGGCTCACGTGCTGAGCTGTGAGAGTCATTCTGTTCTGGCCCGAGAACCAGCTGAGCCTGCTGAGGGCTGAACTGTGTCTCCCAGGGCTAAGTGGGAGAGACAGCTGGTAAGTCAGGTAAGATGTGGTTGTCTTCTCAGAGACAGCTTGCTGCGGGAGACTGCTAGACTGATGCTTCTGTCCCTGGGTTGTGGATTTGATGGGGTCTCCCTTCATTTCTCCTGCCTCTTCCCTGGCTCTGGCTCCCTGTGGTTGGCGAGTGTGCTTCTGGGCCTGTGGTGCCTGACAGGGTGCTCCTTGCCCAGTTACGCTTACCTCATGGTCGATGTGTAGCTTATGGTCTTTCCAGGCCTGCAGGGACTTGTACAGGTCGAGGTCACATTGGACAGTGTCATTTTCCAGGATGTAGCACCTGATCAAGAAAAAGTGTCACATGTGTGGTCCTGAGGCGTGAAAGGGGCCCAGTCTGTCCCTTCACCCCCATCCTCTTCCTGGATTCTCACCTATGAGTCACTTTAATGGGGTTGGGGGCTGAGTAGTCTGGAAGGCCTCCAGTGCCACTGAAGCCCCCGCTGTCCTTGTCTTCTTGGTCCTCCAGGGCCGCCTGCCAGTGCCTCTTGGTAAGGTTGTGGGTCTGGGCTGCATCATCCAGGCCTACATGGTACACCTTGCCGTCGACCTCAATGGCCACAGAGCGGACAGAACGATTACTGGCATAGCTGGCCTTGTACTCTGTGGGTATCAGAGGGTAGGTGGGATAGGGAGGCTGGGGAAGGCTGGCAGGTCCCTTCAGGCAGCAGATCCCTAATGAAGATAAGGCTGAGCATGAGGCTTAAGTGTTGCATGGGACGGTCTTGGGCCCCAGGGAGAGAACTTCAGGATAATTATAGAGCTAAAAAGGAACTGGCTTGAGAATTTGAAAAGAACTATGCATAAATAAACACACTGTGACATCCATAACATTATGAATATCATAACACATTCACCTACAAAAAGCAGCGAGCCCTGATTCATGCCACAGCCTAGGTCAGTGCTGGCAAACCTTTTAGAGCTTGCAGTGATAGCAAACAGTCCACCCTGGCACGTGTGCCATAGATTCGTCACTCTTGGCTTAAAGCATTATGCTGTGTCACAAAAGCCAGACACGGAATGTCACAGCCTGGTATTCTGTATAAAGGAACGATCTGGGGCAGGCCAGTCTGTGGAGGCAGAAAGTGGACTAGTGGTGCCAGGGCTGGAGGAGAGCTCATCGCTCCGTGGATACTCGGGTGCGAATCTTGGCCATGTGTGTGACCGTGGTGATTCAGTTAACTTCCAAGCAGTGATCACATCACGATGGTGCCCACATTATAGGGCTCTCTGGAAGGTGATACCAAACAAAGCTGGTAAATTTTTTACTACCTGGTGAGCGGCTCTAGGGGCTGGGGGCTGCAGCTGTGACATTCTTGCCCAAAGTAACAGGCCTGTAAAGCCTGTGTGTGTGGCTGCCCCACCATGTGAGTGGCTCCCCATGCTCAGGCCACACTGGCTGTCTCCGTGTGGCTGGGACATATCAAGCTCCTACCACAGGACCTTTGTACTTCTCCCTGCTTAGAGTACTTGTTCTCTGGTCACAAGGCTTGTTCTTTGGCTGTACTCCACTTTTGTTTACACTGGTTACCCATCTGGACTTGCCACAGCTCTCCACCCACACACTACTATGGCATTTCCTCCATGCCTTTCTCCATGGGAAATTGTTAATCTGCTCAAATCTTGTCTCATCTATGGTTCAAATCAGCATCTCTCATTCAACTCTGTAATCTCAGCATCTGGTATACAGTACAGCTTACAGACTTGTTGGGAGAATAACAATAAACATTGCCCCTCTGGGACCATCTGGGAATGTCCCCCACTTCTGTTCCTGGATTTCTCCTGTCCTAGGTTGGCTGACTGCCTGGCTTTCCCACACCATAGCCATTAATCCCAGTGGCTTGAGGTGGGCCAGGGCTTCTCCACCTCGGCATCTAACTGATGTGTGGAGGAGGTGTTCTCTGTGTGTTGCAGCATGGTTAGCAGCATCCCTGGTCTTGCCTACTACATGCCAGTTGCACCCCACCACTTCCAATTGTGACAGCCAAGAAATCTCCCCAGATGTTGCCCAGTGCCCTCTAGGGGACAAGATGCCTCTGGCTGAGCCTGTTCTGTGCTGGCTGCCCAGAAAGGAGAGATGGAGAGTGTCGTGTTGGCAGGAGGTGGGACTGGTGTCCCCAGATCCGCCACGTGACTGTCTTTCCCATCCATCCTCAAGAGTGGTCCCTCTGGCCCAGCCCACAGGGCTGTTAGGAAGTTATAAGCCGGCATTTTGAGGTCACCCTGCCCCAGGTACGGACTTTGTACCAGGGCTGACCCAGATGTCAGCTTAGTTTCCTGCATTTTCCTTTCCTCTAAGCATTAAGGGTCAATGTAACGGGACATCAGCTGGGAAGCATCGTTTGAGGCAGGACTGGGTCATTACAGAGAGAGTTCGTCTCTGTGACAAAGCTGTCTCTTGCCTGGCCAGACAGTCCGGGGGAGCTGCCCCTGAGGGGACACTGCACCCACATCTCTAAACTTCAGTGAGTTATCCCTCTGCCTCAAAACGGAAGAGAATTCTGCTACATGGATGACGGTTGCTACATGGATGACGCTTGACCGATGTCACGCCGAATGAAAAAAGGCAGTCACACAAAGACTGCCTTCTAGAGTCGAAGGGCGGCTCAGGGACTGGGAATGGAGATAGAACTAAACAAGCTCTGGAAATTGGCTGCACAACAGAGTGAATGTATTTAACATCACTGAAGTGGATCTGTAAGTGGTTGCGATGGTCAATTTTGCATGCTTTTTACCAACAACCCAAAGCTCTAGGCTTTGGCTGTCGCTGGGGCAGGAAGTCAGAGAAGTGGGTACACAGGAGACCGCCTGGCTCTGGAGGGGAGACATCCAGCCAGCTGGTCAGCACCCAGGAGCCTTCCAGGCACTTGCAGAACAGTCTCCTTCCCACTTGCAAGGCAGGGGGGAACAATTCTGTTTTATGGGGAGCCACAGGATGGATTTCCACCTAATCAAGCATGATGGCTGAGTCTCTCAGCCAAGGTCAGAAGCCTGCTTGCCTCTCTGCTCCTTGGCTCTCAAGTTGCCATGCATCCTTGCCCCTGTAGGGGTTATGGTGGCTTTCTTCAGCCATTTTGTCCCAGGTATAATCTCGTCTCATAATTCACGGTAGCTTTTCATATCAGTCACTCAAACACTGAGTTAATACAAAATCGCGGCCGCTGGGGGAAATAGAGGGCTAGGCTCCTGTGGCCTCTGGTCACAGCACTCCATCACCCCCCAGTACGGAGCCCTGTGAGTGTGCGTCACTGTGAAGACACATCCCATACGTGTCGCTGGTCCGTTACCCTTGAACTTAAGCCAGCAGCACAGCTATGCCTGCAGGAAGCTCACCTAACCCCACGTATTTTCTCCGTAAGACACACCGTGGACTTGTGCACCTCAGCACTGCCCCGGGGGACGTTCAAACAACAAAACTGCTCCAAACGTGCGGCTCTAAACAGACTGTGAAAAGGACCTTGTAGTGTGGGGGTTGAAATGGTGAAGGTTGTCCTTAGGCTTTCTTAGCTGGGAACATAAGTCAGTGAAAACTTGCCCCTCGTCACCTCAGAAATGCCTCAAGCACAGATCTGGGGGCTCCACATCAATTTTCGGAGGCGAATGCGCGGTGAAGAATGAAGTGACTCCATCAGCGTGCCCAAACCGCTGTGCTCTCGCCTCACGCGGAGCCCAACCACTTCCTCTTCTGCTCCCACAGCCCAGCCCACAGCACCTGGCTTCTAACTGTCTGCCTGCTTCTCATCCGACAGCCCACTGGGGGGCAGCTGGAGGGGTCTTAGAGATCACACCTCTCATCTTGGCTCCCGCCTACCGGGAGAGGGTCCGCGAGCTCTGCCTGGCCCTGCGCTACAGCTGGTCCTCGCCGCACTCCCTCCCCCGACTGGGGCAGCACCCTTCGTGCATGGCATCCCTGCTGCGCCCGCTGGAATGAACGGCTCAAGAGGGGTCTGGCCCGTCTCTGGCTCCTAGCACGATGCCTGGCCAAAGAGGCACAGTTTCCGGAATTGTTGGAGTGAATGGACCTTCCCAGGATGATGATCTACCCAGTTCTGCCCAGGCTGCGACACTTACTCTTCTTGAAGAGCTTCTTCCGGCGTCCGGCCAGGCCCAGCTTGTAGTCACCACGTTCGCAGGCGCAGGCTTCGCTGCCCTGCCCGTAGTACTTGGGCACGAGGTTGGAAAGGGCTCTGTCACTGCTGCTGCTGGGCCGCACCGGGCCCTTGCACTTGTGCAGCTTCAGCTTCCCCGAGGCGTCCTCCACACACTGCCACTTCTGCGGGGCACAGCAGAGGCTCAGACTCCGGGGTGTTGGACTACTCGCCAGACCAGGGACAGCCCTCTCCCTGCCCATACCCAGTGGTTGCCAGGCCCTACCCCTGCCCGCTCCAAGTGCCCACTCATGTCCACTCTCACTGCTTGCACTTTGTTGCAGCTCCCACTAGCATGAGGCTGACAGAAGCCCCTATCCACTGGATTAGCTGCTGCCGTCTGCTCAAGTCCATGCTCGCAGAACAGCCAGAGAAGTCCTTAAAAAGGACAGGTCTGACCATCACTTTCCTACTTTAAACCATCCTGTCTCTAGGAAAAGACCCAGGCCCCTGGTTCTGGTCTTCTGTACTCCGCACAAACTGGCCACTGCCTCCCCTTCAGGCACTTTATCCTCCTGTTCTGCCCTCATCTTCAGCCTCAGAACTCTCTCCTGGTACCCAAAGGTGCTGCTGCCCCAGAGCCTTTGCACTTGCTGTTCCTGTGGTCTAGAATGCTTTTCTCTGGCTCTTCATGAAGCTGGAGCCTTTCATCCGTCAGGTACAAGAGATGACATCTGCTTCAATGTCATCTCTTTGCAGATGCCTTCCTGGAGCACCTTGTTTAAAATCCTTTGCCCCTTACCGAGGACTAGATCCATACAGGGAAGTCAGAGTATCCACGCACACATCTGACTCTCAGCATTTGGTCAAAGTTAACTGTACACAATCATTTTCCAGCTCTCTCATTCTCATTCTTGCTAAGTTCCAGCCTCCTGGATCCCCTCTGGGTCCTGCAGTAGGATTTTCTTCCGTGCTGTTTTCACCTGCTCTGCCTCACTGACGGCTTATTTAGGGCCTGTTCCCTGAGCTTACTGAGCACCTCCCACATGCTGGGTCCTGGCTGGTGGACTCTGACTTGTAAAGTGCAGCTTGCTCTACCGAGCCAGGCAGCTGCTCTCATTCCCTCTCGGGATGAGGCACAGAGACACAGAGGGACTCGCCCTGGTCAGAGCTGGAGCTGTGACGGGACTGCTTGCCTGCTCTGCAGGGTCCTGCTTACTGTGCCCACCTCGTCACAGGCTGTTCTCACCTGGTGGCTGACGTCACGTTCATGCTTCCTGTCCCCACATCCCCTCAGTGCGATGCAGGCAGTGTCCCTCCAGCCTGCTCGGCCCAGCCTGCTGCCAGCCTTGCACCTTTTCCAAGTCCCCCTCCCTGATCCCCTCCAGAACCCACCTCAACCTTCCAGGCCTCAGGAAAGCCAGCCAGCGCCCACCATCTCTGAATGCTACTCTAATAGTTCTTAGTTCACTTTTTAAGGACCGTTTCCTGTTATTCCTGTACAAGGAAGACCGGCCACAAAGAACAAACCATAAAAGTGAAGACAATGAAAATAAAGTGAGCTCCTGCGGCTGCCTGCTGGGACCTTTGTGTGAGTCAGGGGTTGGTAAGGAGCCAAGGTCCTGCCCACGCCACAGGACACTGTCCTCTGACCCCGACGGGGTCCAGAGCTTACAGGGAAGTGTGCTGTGCTACTGCACTTCGGGCCCTGGAGGAGGGAGGCGGCAGGGTGGCGTGGCCTCCTCACCTGCCCCAGCTGCTCACATGCTGTCTGGTACTCGGCGCGCTGACACAGGTCCTTCACACGCTGGAACTTGGGCAGGAAGTTCTCCTGGGCATCCACCTTGCTGCTGTCCCTCTTGTGGAGCAGTTTGCTGTGGGGGACGGGGCAGGGCACCCTCACTGTGGAGGATGTTGGCCCACTGACCAGAGCCTCTGAGTTTTCAGACTTAGAAGTTGGGATTTTATAGGAGACTCCCTGAATGCCACGAGGTGGCAATAAATGAACAAGCAGTCAGGATGTTCTCCAGGTTGGACAAGACACGCGAAGGGGACATAGGGCCTCCAGATGCAAACTGCATCAAGCACAGGACACCGTGTCTCAGGCATTCTCCCTGCCCTCACCCACGAGGTCTTTAATACCCTTGAACTCACCCTCTCTCCACCAAGAAGGAGTCCCGCCAGACCCTCATCTTCTTTTTCAAGTGAAACCTGGAAAACAGTTGCGCTCCAGCTTCTTACCCGGAGGCCCCTCCCCAGCAGCCTGCTGTTTGGGGGCCAGAGTTATTCTCAGAGCCAGCCTGCTCCATAGTCCGGACGCCAACTGGGCAGTGGTCATGACTGGCCCCGTGCCCCACGCTGTGCCCGGAGGGGTGCAGGTTAATTACGTTGTGTTTCATAGGGAGTTTCTTCCTTTGCTTCATTACAGTTGGAGCTGTGGTCCTGGGCTGTGCTGCCCTTTCCCTTTCCTCAATGGGCTCCCCGAGGGGTGTTTCTGCGCGGTGCCCTGATGTCTAGGGATCTTGACCTCCAAGGCAGTGTCCGCCCCCCGCACATATCCATGCACACTCTCATACTCACTTGGCCTCTAATTGGGAGGAGGAGGCTCAGTGTGAACTAATAGCACCCCGCTGGGCTGGACTCTGGGGGTCAGGGAGGAAGAGATCAAGCCCAAGGTTGAAGGAACACCTGGGCCCAGGGGCCTGGTGTGCAGTTTTAGCGCTGACCACAAGATGTCGCTCCTGCCCGCCTTTCCCCACTGTGGCTCAGCTCCCCCTTCCCACCTGTCTTTGTGGTTCCCTTCTGGCCCCTAGGACACCTAGAAACATGTTCCCATCACACCGCCCACCCGTCATAAAAACCATAGCGCATGGCGACAAGAGTCTGCATTCCTGGTGCTGCAACCAGACTTGTTGACAAGTCGGCCTCTGGGATTCAGAGTCCCAGATTGTAAGTTGGAGATAATGGGTTTGCCAGAGTCCCGAGTTATCGTGAGGACAGAAATGACAGCATCCCTGCAAAGCACTCAGAACAAGAACTGGCACAAGGGTCAGTTAGTGCTAACTCCTGTGGTTGTGCTGTTGCTATTTCAGACTTTACATATGACATGGTCTCAAGTCCAGGTGAGTGCCCAACCCCCTTCCTCCTGTAGCAGTCAGTGGTCAGCACAGGGAACCTAGAACCCCACCTCCGGAGTCTTGGGGACCCCCAGACCCACGTGGTCAGTCCTAAATGTCTACAGGTTCGGAAGCCCAGTGTCCCCGCCCTGGATCGGCTCTGCCTGCCCCTCCTCACCGGTTCACTGGCCGCTCCATGTCCAGCAGTTTGAGGATGGATTTCCCGTCCATGTCTGTGGGGATGTCCAGGCCAGCGATGTCCAGGATGGTGGGGGCCAGGTCGATGTTGAGGACAATGTGGGGGTTCCTGAGTGGACAGGGAGAGTAGGGCCTTGGCCGCCTGGCCTCTGTATCATGCTACCTCAACCCTCAACAGTCCTGTGACCCCAATTCAGCCAGCCCCACCCCACATTCACCCCCTTGCCTTCTAAGCCTCCAGATACCACACGGCACTGGGTGGGCGCCCAGCTCTTGGTGGGGGGGCTCTCCACCTTCAGTGCTGCACAGATCCTGGGCCTCCCCGGACCCCAGGTCTTCGGGGCATACACTGCCCCTTGCTATTCCTCTGGAGCTGGGCACAGCCTGGCCTCAGTCTCCATCCTTGCTGTGCCCTCCTCCCTGATGTCCTTCCTGCAGAGATCTGCAGGACAATGACTTCACCTTGATGCTCTTTCCTCAACTATTACCAAGAGTTAGCCTGCATGATGGTGCACACTTGGGAGGCTGAGGCAGGAGGATCCCAAGCTGGGGCCCAGCCTGGGCAATTTAATGACTTGCAAGAGCCTGTTTCGAAGTGGAAGAAAGGAGGGCTGGAGATGTAGCTTGGTGCAAAGTCAGCTCTAAATGGAATCCCCAGTGTGCACCCCCATCACACACGTGGGGTACCGCAGGACAGTGGGGGATGCACTGTCCCCATGTCTCGTGTGATGGGCACCCCATCTTCCTGGCTTGGAAGAGCAAGTTGCCATACCTGTGGCCCCAGCAAGGGCCCCTGTGAGAGTCCGGGGGGCAGGCTGTCAGGTTCAAGTCCTGCCCGTGTGGTCTGTGCCCCTTGACCTGAGCAGTGGGCCCAGCCTCTGACCACAGAGGGGCCGGCGGCACAGGCACCGTTTTACGTTGCCGCATTTGCGGGGCCCTTCCCAGGACCCCGCCGAGTTTGCCACGCACCTGCTGCTCCTCCTGCTTCCTACTCTGTAAGTGGTGGGCCCAGTGTCCGCCGCGGGCAAGCCAGACACGCCTTCCCTGTCCCTCCCGGCCACTCGAGACCCTGCCCGCTCCCCAGCCCAGGCTGTGAGTGCTGTGCAGTGGGGGTGAAGCCGAGTGACGCCAGGGCTCCGAGGCCGCACAAGCATGACGGCTTCAGGGGCAGGCGAGGGAGCTGGAGAAGCGGGGCACGGTCCTGCGTGCCAGCAGCCGGCTACTGGATGGAGGCGAGGCCCCACCCGGCCAGTCAGCACGCTCGTCTCACGCTGGCCAACTCGGCCTCGCTCAGGTCCCACCGCCCGATGTGCTTGGCCTGGTCTCCCAGGTTTCTTGTCACCCCTGGCTACGGTGATGGGCTCAGGGCACACTCATGACCCGAACCAGAAGAGTAAGAGCCACCCTCGGGGCTTTTCTTCCACCTCTGCTTCCTGAAGCAGGATGGCCAAGCCTGAAGCTGCTGATCTGATCCTGCTACCCGCAGAGACGAGGCTGCGAGGAAGCAAGGTTGAGATGGAAAGTGACAGCTTCTTACTGGCATCGCCCCTACCGTGCTTCCCCTCTGGGCACTGGAGAAGTGAGCGCGCCTGGCAGGGGAGCTGCCTTTCCAACCTCCCTGTGCTCGGGCTGGTCTCCCTGATATCCCCAACCGATGTTCTGATGTTCTGCAGAAGCTGCAGCGGGGAGAACTGGCTTTGCTCTGATCCTCCCTGCCCCAGACGGAGTCAGCTGTCACTGCAAAGGTTAAGCCAAGGAGAATGGCTGAGGGCGGAGGGTCATGCGTCCCCGAGAGGATGGGAGGGGGTGTGGCCCACGTCAGCTGCCTTCAGGAGCTGACTCGCTGGTCTCAGGGTAACTGGCTGCCCACTGAAGCTCAGGGTTCCTCTCCAACAGACGCTGGGAGCAAAGCCCTCTCCCACCTGCTGGGAAGACTGGGACCGCCCGCCACACAAAATGTTTCACAGGCGCTAAATGCTCCTGGCTTCTCCGTATCACCAGGGTGACATAATGTCCCGTTCAACAGGCACTGCTGAAATCGTGTGCCACCCAGGGGTGTGACCTGGCATCGGGCCACAGTTTTTAGCCCTTGGGAGCCTGGGGGTGGGGGTGACACTCACAGAGAGCCGGCCTCCACGTTGGGGCCCCTCACGTAGAATGGGACTCGGATGTCGAACTCATATGGCATGGACTTCCCTTTCACCAGGCCGAACTGGCCGATGTGGTAGCCGTGGTCGGCAGTGTAGACGATGTAGGTGTTGTCCAGCTCGCCTGTCTCCACCAGCATGTTGTAAATCTGCAACGGAGGCCAGGAGGGAGGCCGGGAGTTGAGGAGCGGTGGGTCACGGCCCTGCCCGCCACTGACCCAGGAGCGCAAGACCCTGAGGGTCACACCCCCACCCCCGGGTCCTTTGCATCTTGTTTCTTACTCGTGGGTTATGTCTCTGCATTACAGAAGCTCTGACAGGCCTGGGACTCTTGTCATCTTGTCCCCTGCCTGCTGTGTCCCATGTACACGGGCTCTTAATAAATGCCACTGAATGAATGAAAAAAGCTGGACAGTGCCTGCGGCAGGAGTTTGTGGCCTACGACAGGGCTGCCCAGTGTGGTGGCTGCCAGTGCTGGGGCTGCTGGGCATGTGAACTGTGACTTCTGTGACAGAGGAGCCTGATGTAAGTGGGATTTTTTTTTTTTTTTTTTTTTTTTC